ACGACGCTCTTCCGATCTCCCCAAAACCCCAAAACCCCATCAGAGTTGATATTTATACTAAATTATAGTTAAGTGTTTGGCTTTAATAATTAGGAAGTGAATTTTTAAAATTATCAAAAATAATGCCGCAAGATAGATTAACAAAAAGAAGTCAAATGTCAAGAACACCTGAGAGAGAAAATTTTGGATCCCATAATAATGGTCAAGGTCAAATTAGACGTTCCAGACTATCTAGATCACCATCATTGAATTCAAGTCACATCCAACGATCTAGGTGAGTGCTCTTTACATTTTACTTAAATATTACATAGATCAAGAGAATAGTCCGGCAAGTAAGTATAGGAAAGAAGATAGAGAGGTTAATCACAAGGTTCTTCAGCTGAGAGGAATCATCATAGATTAGGACAATTTAATGGAAGATCTCCTAACAGAGCGTAATTAAATACTTACTTTACTTCATTTTAGTCGAGAACAATCTGATAGTCTCGATGGTAGATAGGAAAATCATCATCACAGAAGAAGACCTTCTACTGAAGGGTAAAGAAGAAGCCAAAGTCCATTCAGGGAGGAGAGGAAAAAACCAATTAGAGGTGGTTTGGATGAAAGGCCTTCTGAAAGATAAATTTTCGATTTCAAAGTTTTCATTAATAAAGACTTTGTGAGATATGGAGATATCAATGAATCTTATCTTAATAAGGTAGTCAAAATTTGATTTAACTTTAATTTAGATATGTCACTAAACCAAATGTTCTAGCATCTATTTTGATGAGAAAATTCAGATTCCAGATATGCCAGGGAAAGTTATGGTATTCTAATCTGATATAATTGAAATCAAATATGACGCTATCTCAATCATTTTAAGAAAACTACTTGATATTTAGAGCGATCTTGCTAAGAATAAGACAAAGACTTCGCTGCTTAACTCTAACTCGATTCTTGAATTCTTAATACTCATACCAGAAGGACTTGTAGCATTAGTAATAGGAGGAAAAGGTCGATAAATTAAAAATTTCATGGACGAGAGTGGAGCTGATATAGTTGTTAATCAGCCAGTTTATGGAATGAATTAAAGGTCAGTGTCAATCAGAGGCCAACCTAAGCATGTGGCTTCTGCATGCTTGAAGATTTATCAGACTCTTGAGAAGTATGCATACTCTGTTGAAGATATTGAAAAGAAAGCTGTAATTGAATTCTTATTAACTTACAATAGGAACCAATTTAGAAAGACAAGATCAAATCTTGCTGTAAATTTGTGGTAAAAGAAGAATCAATTGGATTTATTATTGGGAAAAATGGAAGTTTTACTAAATTTTTGCAAGATGAGTTGAGAGTTCATTTAAACTGCTTTAGAGACAAAGGCAATCGAGCACTTAGACATGATGAGAGTGTTGCTGTAAGATTTTCTTGTTTATATTAATTATAAGCGTATGACTGGTTCACTACATGACATTCAAAACTCAATCCTAGAATTCTGCAAGAGAATAGAAGAGTACTATGACTCCTTGAAGAAGAACTTTAAGAATTATCCATTAGCCATTCTGATACCAAGTAATTTAGTAACTAAAATCATTGGTGCGGGTGGCTGCATGATTAAGGAAATCTCTTAAAAATCAGGCGGTGCTAACATAAGAATTCATTCTAGTAAGGACAGTGATAGAGATCTATAAGAAATAGTAGTAACAATTGAAGGCTCTTTACAATCAAAATTTGAAGCTGCCTCCTAAATAATTGAATAAATTGAACTATTCAAGAACGGAGGACCCGTAAGCAAAAATAATTCAAATATTAACCACTAATAACAGATTCTGTCCTCAGGCTAAGCTATTAACTCAAATCTTGCAGGACAAATTAGAAATTCTGTCCCATTCTAAAGATCCGATGCCTATAGAAATGAATACGAGCAGCAGCCACCTAAGTAACCAAGTGATCATAGATAAAAAGAATCCAAGTTTGGGGAAGTAGTAGAAGAATAAGCTGAATAGAACAGAGCAACTAAAAGCAATAAAATTTCAAACAATAGATCCAGACATTCAGGAAGTCGAGAAAGAAAACGAAGCCAAAATGGATAGTAGAAATTAACCACAGAGGGCGCCATCTCCACATCTTCGATTAGCAATAACTAATCTCTTAATGAAAGTAAAATCAATAAAATCTAATAGAGCACTAATAATATTAATAATAATAGAACCTAAATTTGATAATTTGAAGAATAATTCAGGGGGCCGAGATCAATTGATTCCATAGTAGCAGGATGATCTCGATGGCATGGAGATTGAAAACAATAGCTTTTTGGACTTTAACACAAACAGTGGAGGCACTGGAAGCAGAGCTGAATTCGGTAATCACCTAAACCCAGGCAGTGCCTCTAAGGCAACTGTTGCTACTACAGTTGAAGAGTCATCTACCAATGCAATCAATATCATTGAAATTCCTAAACAAGAATCCTATGAAATGATGACTTTGATTAATGAAAACTGTGAATTGGTAGTCAATTTTGAAGTAATGGTGCCCCCTTATCATCCAATTCTCAACAGCAAAATAGAAGAACTAGAAAAAAATACTAACTGCTAAATAGTCATTAATGATAAAAATGTAAGCTTACATAAGATATTAACATTAATTAAAAGAAGAAGCAACCAACTATTCAACTTCAAGGAAGCTTGAACAATATTTCTAATGGATTTAAATCATTAGGATCGATGATCATAAATATTGAAAGAAAATAGAATAACATTCATGGCAGGGAAAAAAGGTAAAACCCACCTGTAACAACAGCCAGTTTATCAACAACAAACAATAATTAGGAACAAAGTTACTGAAAATCAGGCTAATTAGAGTAATCCTATGCACTAGAATGCCTAAGTAATAAGTAATTAGATTCCCTTCAAATTAAGATTTATTAATAAAACATTAACTCAAATCTTTACTTTTTCAAATAGAGGGGTTTTGGGGTTTTGGGG